ATTCGAGTTGATTGGATCATTTTGTTTTGATTTGCATTGATCATATATTGGGGAATCAGTGATCTAACTTGAATAAATACATTGTTATATTGGGGAATCAGTGATCTAACTTGAATAAATACATTGTTAACTGAAATGAATGATATGGAGTCAGAACCTAATTTAAAACAACTTGAATAAATACATTGTTAACTGAAATGAATGATATGGAGTCAGAACCTAATTTAAAACTGTTGATGTTGATATTTTAGATGGTTTGGACTTGTCCAATACAGTTCTTTATTGCTGTTTAAGATTTAACATGATATTTATGAACTTTTTCAACTCTTGACTAATTAATGGCAACATTTATATTATCGATTTGGTCATAGTTCTATTCTCAATATTGATTGATTAAACAGTTCATAATGTTATTGACAGTCCACTAATATAAACCTGACCCTAGCCTATTATTTCTGAGAGTTCTTTCACCTTACCCCCACTTCTATATATTCACCCAAGCTGCAGTGAATTTTGATAATATATTAGATGGTGAATTTACAATGCAATTTAACTAATGATTTGAGATGCAGAAAAATAACTGACGGCAGATTAAGATGCAGACAGAGTATATTGAAGATGGCAAGTTTCTGCAGCTAACTCGACGGAGTCGAGTTTTCTCCCACCCGGGGAGAATAATAAGGACAACAAATGGCAATATTTGATTAGTTGATATATTTTTGAATTTTGAATTTTGAAATTTAAAATTTAAAATTTGAATTTTGAATTTTAAATTTTGAATTTTGAATTTTAGTTTAATTTTAGTTGAGTCATTTGAGGGATTGTTGTTTGTTTCAATTTTTATTGCACGTTGTGTGCACGTAGTTTTTTTTATAAATAAGGTTATATGAGACTATTGAAAATCAATGAATTATTGAAGAATGAAAATGAAATGAATTTTTGCTAATTGCTTGGTGTGAAACCATGGGTGTGAAACCCTAGCTACAATTCTTTTTCTTTCCTCTCTACTTCCTCAGCCGCCAGAAAAGTGGAAAAAAAATCAAAAAAAAACGACACTGTTCATTTTCTCCTTCCTCCAAACACCCGCAACCCACAAACCCAACTCCACTCCTTCTTCCATCACCGCAACCATCTCCTCGTCGTGCCCACAAGCAACCGCGCAAGCCCTCCTCAACCGCAACCACCAGCTCCCACCGCTCAAAGCCCCTGTTCTGCGCTCCCTTCTCGCCGCCAACGCCCAGCTCCTCCACACCCGAATCAGCCGCGCCCAGCCACCGTCGACCCAGCTCCTCCTTGCGTTCCCTCGACCACGAGCAGCCCCCTGATCTCGTCCCTAACCGCCTTACCGCCGAAAAACTCCATCTCCTGAAGAGTCGTCAGCCCACCGGCGTCATTCTTCGTCGACGTCCAATCCCGTCGTCGTCGCGTTGGCGCTTCACTCCCTCGTTTCCTCAGATTGAAGACAACGCAGAGGATCACCTGGATCTGATGTATTTACGATCATACCCGACTTGGTGCACTTGGATTTGATCGGACCTGACCCGGATATGCTTGTTGATTGATGGGCTTTGGACTTCAATGTGGAGCTAATGGGTTTTTGGATTTCTCTCAGCGTTTTGGATAGTAAATTCTCAACTCAGTAATTTTCTGTTGATTTTAATTTATTAGTTAATTGCATGAGTAGTACATCTCTAAATTCTTATCGTATATTCACTGCTTATATTATATCTGTGAGTTGAGAGAACTGAACATGTGACTGATTAATTTTGATATTGAATATAGAACTGGCGAAATGATAATTAATATTGCGATTAAAATATTTGAGATTGGAACTGTTTATGACTATTGTTGCAAATCTTGTTAAACACATTTCTCGCGTTAACTGCTTTAATTAATTTCCTACCGAATATCATGATTTTTGGCCAAACGGTGCGTTGTTCAAATTAAATCACTGATTCTGATAGACCCCCTCCCCCGTTTCACATCACAGTGATTTCTTACACGTTGATATTCTTCTATTTGTTCACAAACATAACACCTTAGCAAGTCCCAAGTCAATATAGTAGCTTGAGTAGAGCTGTCCAAAACAACCCGCGGCCCGGGCCCGGCCCGGAAACCCGGGCCAAGTCCGGGCTCCGGGCCGGGCCCGGGACAGCTTTTTGTGCCCGGCCCGGCGCCGGATTAATTTTTTTATTTTTTATTTTATGTATTATATTATATATGTATAATATAATGTATATATAAATATATATAATATGTATAATATATGTATATAATAATATTTTATATATGTATAATATATGTATATATAATATATTTCTATATACGTATACATATGTCATATGTGTGTATATATTACTCTCTCTTAGTATATAAGTATAACTCTCTGCTTATATAATTATATATATGTACAAGTATATATAAGTATACTTTCTCTTTTATATAAGTATATATCAAGAATACTCTCTCTATATATGTATAATGTATAGTAGTATGTATAATATATAACTCTCTCTCTAGTATATATGTATACCTCTCTTATATAAGTATATAAAAGTATACACTCTCTTATAGATGAATGGTCAAACGACGACTGGGTCCACCCAAACTTGTGTGTTGGGGTTTTAGAATATGTAGACAAGTTCAAACGGAGCGGATCAATCCATCAATGTCGGCTCAATCATGTGATTTTTAGAGGCGTCAAGGAGGAAAATCCCCCTCTATGACAAGGATACTCATTAAAATCTAATATATATAATATATATATAATATATATATATATATATATCTATATATATATATATATACACTAATATACTCTCTGCTCTAGTATATAGTATATATAAGTATAGTATATTATTTTGTATTCTAATGTCGGAGCTATAAGTAGTATCATTCACAAGCTAACTTCTTCCCCATTGGCCCAACGGGCAACGGCTACTTATGCGATTCTCTCTCTCTCAAATTATAACTTATAAATATATACAATATATTTACATATAATATATGTATATATAATATATAGTTACATAATAATTTGAAAGTATATACTAATACATAATTATATAAAATATAATAATATTAAAATATTTTTAGCATTTTTTATCAAAAAAAAGAAATTTAAAAAAACCTAATTGGGATGTACTTATCTATTGTGATGCGATGAATTCCAAAATAAATTTATACTTGTAATTTGTAAATGATTTATTAATTATTAATAAAGAATTTATTTTTATAATTTATGTTATTTTAAGTGATTAATAAAATTATTGTTTATTATTATTATTTTTTTGTCTTTTTTTATAATTTAAAACTTAAATAAAATTTAAAAATTTTGATAAAAAAAATTTAAAAAAAAAGAAAAAATCTGGGCCGGCCCGGAACCTGGCCCGGTCGGGCCCGGGCCCGGCCCGGGGTACCGGGTCTGGGTCCGGGCTCCGGTTTTGCCCGGCCCGGGCCCGGATTTCCGGGCCGGGCCGGATAGACAGGCCTGCCTGAGCAAGGAGAATGACACTGATTTCAACACTGCCGATGTTGTTACTTGAGTTTATAATCAAGCCTGCAAGCAAGCATACCATTGAGATTCCAGCTACTGACGTGAGGAACATGTCTATTCTTATTAAAAATTTCATTTTTGGGCTAATTGTTGGGAGACCTTCTGAACTATTGCCAAATTGAAATTATTGTTTCAATAGTTCTATTGTTGTGGATTGCCGAACTGAAATTACCATTTCAATAGTTTTTTGGATAGACCTCCTAAAAGAGTTTAATTTGGCGATGGCAAAAGTGGTTTATCCGCAACTAATCCTTCATTTATTTGTATTACGTACTAAGCATAGTTTTCTAACAATATTTAAATTTTTGTTTTACAATTTAATAACAGGGAAGCACTGTTAATTGAGAATTCCGTGTTCTTGGTTGGGAAGTGGCTTATGGTGCTGAGGTTACACCAACCGCAGGGTCTGGGTGCACTGTGATCATTTAAAAGGCGAAGAAATTAGGCCTAACCGAAGAGTCCTATGTGAAGAACAACTTCAAGATCAATGAGACAGGAAAAGTAGTCCTCACCATTGATAATGCCACCTCCAAGAAGAAAAGGATTCTCTACCGATACAAGGAAAAGACTTTCATTGAATCCACTTGAATGGGAAAAAAATATTACAAAATTTTATACTTTATATTTTTAGCCATATGGGGAAAAAGATTACAAAATATGCTGCGAGTTAATTTTATACTTTGCCATAAGGGTTTTTCTCGTTAGAAACTCTGATCATGGAAAGCATCTAACCTGCATATTACTTTTCTCTAATGTACAATCGAACTTGCAATAAAAAACCTCGATGGCATTGTTCACCAAGTCATTTTAGCAAGGTATGTACATTGCAAGGTTTGTCTTTAATCATGTTTTACCGAAATGTTAAAAATTTACAAAATTTTTCATGTTTAGCTATATCTTTCCATTAAAATTAAAAAAAAGTTAAGAAAATTTAATCACGTGCATTGCATGTGTATTTCACCTAGTAAGAGAAATATGTAACTATCAATGACAATGGTTACGTGACATATATTTGAACATCAGGTAATGAAGCTTTTGCAAAAGAGATGAGGCTGTAATTACTCCCTATGAACGTTACTATCTTTTGCTTTCCTCCCGCTCTCGGAAACCAACAATACAATTCTGCCGACTTAGACGAAGATTGCGATTCTGACAGGCACAATGATCAGTTGGTAGTGTGAGCATAGCGGTTGAAAATTTACCCTCTGCAGCCAGATGCAAGGAATATTAGAGTCCCACTAGGGGCACACCCTCAACCACACTCTCAACCACACCTCCACACTCTCTATAGTGCTAGTGGGCCATGCATGATATTTTTATCATGCATGGCCCACTAGCACTATAGAGAGTGTGGAGGTGTGGTTGGGAGTGTGGTTGAGGGTGTGCCCCTAGCATTATTTGGAATATTAATCCAAGCTCTCGTCAGCACAGGTCATCAAACGAGTAACAAAATCAACATTTGACATCTATTATCAACCGAATTTTAAGTGAACATGACCCACAAGGAAGAAGAACCGATACTGGTACTAAGTCAGTAGGACGATGTAACCCGAACACTCCACTTTCATCTAATAAAACCCCCATCTTCTCAAGATCCATAGCGGTGACTGAAAAATAATCACCGCATCTACATTCATAGAAGAACTCCTTTGAATCATCACAATCCTCTACAGACATTTCCTCTAGTCTAATTTCATCAGAAGCAACGTCCACTTCGCACCTGGAAGCTCGGAGTTCCTTGTCATAATTTGCTCTAGACTTGGAATCAGAAAGAACCTCCCATGCCTTTTGTACATCAAGGAAATTATCTTGATGCTCGACTGCCTCTGGTTTTGTTTGAAGCTTATCAGGATGAGAATTTAGGATGGCAGCCTTGTAGCTCGCCCGGATTTCATCATAGTTTGCATCTTCCTTAATTGAAAGAACATCATAATGTGTCTTTCTAGAAGAACTGCTCGCAGAAACAAGCATGGCGGAAACTTTCACGACAGCCCTTTATCTGGACAGAAAGTAATGCATCAAAGACTTGTGGGTATACAATTCACATCAGAATTGCTAGATAAGTTTAATATTAGGTAAATGCATGTTCTGCTATATATAAGCCTCTTTGTTTTTTGAGTACTGATTTAAACCGAAAAAGGAAAAGAAAAAAAAAAGGAAGGCAAGAAAAGTGCTTATGATGATCGGAATGTCAGATATGTTACAAAGTGATCAATGTTTAGAGGCTTTCTATTCCTCTCTTTCATTAATAAGGGTCATAACCATAATTTGAAGTTGGATATTCTCACAATCTAATCCTGCCTTACACAATTTGACTAAGCCTTGATGCCATTCTTCAGTAGGTCGAATGGAATTTTCAATTGTGATGCCTCATCAAGAGATTAGAACAGATTTAACAACGCAAGCTGGCATAATTAAATCAGCCAGACATTGGCACAGCCGGGGGAAACAAAGCAGAACTAACCAAATTGGCAGTTGAGTACTAAAATGAGGTTTTGATACCAGTTACTTCTGAATTCTAGCTTCCCAATAATGAAGAAACCAATCAATTTCCAGAAAAATAGCTACCAACACGACTAACCTTGTAAGATCATAAATGAATACTACTTTAAAAGATTATTCTCTTCTGTATAAGTTTGAGACTGTACTTACAAATACAGTACACAAAAGAGGGGCAACTTAGGTGACGGGTATACAATCTCAAAAACACACGATAAACTTGTATATGTGTAGTCGTCAATTGTATATACATGTCTACAAATAGCCTGTTCAAATTTGTATAGATTAAATTAAATTTATTGCTAAGCTAATTTACAGGGCTTCAATAAAGTGAATCAAATAAGTCTAAAGAATTGAGTAGTCCATAGCAAAAACAGAAGGGGAAAAAAAGAAAAACTATTTAATGTAATTTATTTAAATATATTTCTTGGTCTATACATATTTACATTTCATAATTCTCATTAGACGATCAACTTTTTAAAATTTCGGTATTTCAACTGGGTGTGAGGTTTCAACAATTTCTTATATAAAAATAGTTCTTCAAAAAATTATTCACAAGGTTTTCATCCTCAAAAAAATTGGACAAAGGCTTTCGTTATTGTTGTCCAATAAATAGCTCTTCTGAAAATCCTAAAATTATTGATCTCATTATTTACAAGTTAGTGAGCAATAAAAATCAGTGTCAAGTAGTTTGTTGAGACAAAGAGAGGGAGGGAGAGCGGGGGAGAGAGAAAGAGTTGGTACCTTAGAAGGATGCGAATCACGTGACGAAGTAAGGCGACGCGTTTTCGCCGGGGATGGAGAAGGGGGGTAACAATTTTTATACTATTAGGGGGTGAACCAAGGTGAATGGAGGTGAATTAACTTCACCTCCTAAGTGTTCCCAAACAAGATGAATGGAGGTGAATGGTTCCCCTAACTTTCCTTCACCCTCATTCCCCTCAATCCAAACAAGCCCTGAGTGAAGGGAATGGAAGGGAAAGGAAAGGAAGGGAAGGGAATTCCCTTCCCCTTGGTTACACCCCAATTTGGGGGGTAACAATTTTTATACTATTAGGGGGTGAACCAAGGTGAATGGAGGTGAATTAACTTCACCTCCTAAGTGTTCCCAAACAAGATGAATGGAGGTGAATGGTTCCCCTAACTTTCCTTCACCCTCATTCCCCTCAATCCAAACAAGCCCTTAGGCAGAATACATCACTTACGCTCGTAAACTTGTATAAAAAAAATTAGATGATGTTTATAGCATATATTCACATATCATATGGGGAATGTGCCCATCTCATTATCAATGGCAAACTTGATCAAACTTCAGAAACACAAGTTCCGTTAAACAATACAATTCTCAAGTGTTATTAACATAAAGCGTATGTAGCACATCAAGCGATAAAGTAAAAAACCATACATAAATCAAGACACGACTACGTGGAGCCCTTCTCGTGAGCTTATCATTACTTTTCTTTAATATCGCCCTGAACAATCTAATGACCTCAAGTCACTTTCAATGAAATCCATCTTAACGTTTTCAAGAACTTTATAGATTGTAAGTTAATACTTACATAAATCTAATGGGTAGTAGCAATACTAATTATCTTGAGAAGCAAAGAGAATGACTGGATAGAATTAAGAGAACAAACCATATAATATGTGAAGAAATGGGAGAAAATAGAACACTTTCACAAAATTTGTTGGTACCAACTTATAACGTTAAACTGATCGGTTCGTGGATAACTTAAAAATCTAATACATAAATATAAAAAAAATTATATTAATCGCACAATACAGAGATGTCTGTCCAAGTGAATGATCGATAGACAAGTGTAGAAATTTATAAATCAATAGATTTTTTATACATTTCTGTTTCAAAAGAATGATACCAACCGTTCAAAAATGCTTCATTAGTAGTTTGTAAGCCTATCCCTCGATAAAGTTACATTGAGTCATATAAACCTTTCTCTTGCGCATAAATGCTTCACTTAGTAGTTTGTAAGTCAGTCCCTCGATAAAGTTATATTGAGTCATATAAATCTATCTCTCGCGCGCAAGTAACATGTTGGCTAAGAAATTTGCATTTTAACTGCGCATTTCAAATCCCAATTTATAGAAGCCCAAAGAATTGATTCAATGACAAACTTATTCACTCAACCATACAGAGATGTTTGTGTTGCCCGTCGTACGGAAGCGTGCTCGACAACCAAACGAGTCGGCGAGCGATGAGAAAAGAGAACCAAACCAAATACAAGTGCAATCCACCAAAATATGGCACAAATCAAACCAAACATAGAGATTTACGTGGTTCAGCAATTGCCTACGTCCACGGGAAGAGGATGAGGAGATTTCACTATAGGGAGGAGAAATACAACAGGTTACAACTCACAAAATCACTAAAATATAACCCTAACCAAAACTCTCAACTCCCTCACAATATCTGCCTCTCAAAGTGCTCAAAACAATGCTAATTCTCTCCTTCAGAAACCCTAAAAAACGTGTTAGTATTTATATCAAACACCTAATCCAAAACCAACCAAGAAAACAAAACAGGCCCATAACCGCTTGTCGGTCGACCGCACACATGCGACCGGTCGACCGGCTAGAGGGTTGAAAACAGCCCTGTAACATGCACGTTTTCAGTCGACCGACCATACCCATTCGGTCGAACGACCAGAGACGGGTTTCAAATCCTGTAATTCAACAATCTGTCGGTCGATTGGGCCTATGTCGTCGGTCGATTGACCCGAGGGATTTCCTATACTCGTGTTTTGCATGATTTTCTCAAATCCTTCGCCATTTTCTACAATTTTGTACCTCGTTAGATAATAACGTTCATCGTCTTCTCTTCGTCTCGAGCTATATTCGGACATCTATAGGTATTTTTAGACACCTACAGCAATCACTTGTGTTTCACCTCTGGGATGTAGGGATGAGTTTCGCGTCTTGGATTGATGAGATCGTTGACTTGTAATCTCTTCTGTCAGAGCATCGTGATAATCATTGTTTTGTAATCTTCGCTTTAGCTCTTTGAAATGTGAGAGTCATCAGATTATAACTCTCATTATTGGTTGTGAAGACCATTGATCAGAGCTTTTATCGGTTATCATGAAGGTCGTCGATTTGTAACATTCATCGATCTACGTGAAAGTCTTCAAATTATAGCCTTCTAGAAGTCGTTGAATTGTAACTTCCCTTGTTAATGTTTGATGGGGATAAGCTATCTGTTGTGTTTTTTTTAACAGCCTACAATCTCGTCGGGGAGTCACTGTTTGTGTCGGAAATCAATTTCATTGTTGAATCCATTATAACTCGTTTATCGAATTACAGATTCAAAAAGTAAGCATTTTTATAAGACTTCTTTACACAAATGAAAACAAACAAATAAGATCTCCTAGAAACACACGCAGAAACTCTTGTTTAGTAGCCTCTGCTTGCGTAGAATCTTTGTCTGTGTCGGGGACGCGTTAGTCCGTACACGGCCGATTCACAGATCTAGATTGATCTGAAGAAGGCTTGGAATCGATGTTTCATTTTAGAAACAATGACAGAAGTGGATATCTCAACAATGTGAGATAAACACTCTTCTCAAGAACAAAATAAGGTTTGATCTTAAGGAAAATACCGATGGCTCTCAGGATGTGAAGAACTCTCTCTCTCTCTCTCTCTCTCTCTCTCTCTCTCTCTCTCTCTCTCTAGATCACAAAGCTCACCATAAATGCCAATTCTCTACTACCAATTCGCTCCCCCCTTGTGCACAAGGGTATAGGGGAAGTATTTATAACCCCGGGAAACCGTTTCTGAAGATAAGAAGTCGAAACAAACTTCTTTGATTTCGCGTAAGTTCAGACTTCGGAATCCAAACTTTGTGGAATTTTGGTGGTTTTCCGTCCATCTCTTTTTTCTTTGATTCTTGCGCCCTTCGCGCAAAAGCACGAGCATGTGCGACACGTGGGCAGCGCTTCTGGATGCGTTCCTTCTTCGTCGAACGAGTCCTTTTGACAAGAACTTATTCATTGGTTGATGGATTGGAGGAAACATCAGTGACACGCTACTGTTGACCCTATAGTTTTGATGATGATTTGTCAAACAATTTATTGCTAATATATTCTCTAGTTTTATTTTTATGTTTCTATTTACAGGTATTTCAACACACGAAAATCAAGCGTTAAAGATTCAAGTTCATATGTATGAAGTTACCTAGGTATAAGAGTAGTTTACTTACATATATTGTATGTTTATATTTAAGCTCAATATATGTACACTTAACACGATTTTTGACGTTTTCTATCATATAAATGATTTTTTATCAAACATAGTTACAATATCTTTTATCTCATGTTTACAGCTCATTCATACTTCATTATATACATATAATATATGCATGAGATATATTTACATGTTTATAAGTCATATCAAAATTTTCATATTCGTAAAATACAGGTTTTACGAACACTTTTCAAAAATAGTGTGTGTTTGCAAACGAAAATTATTTTTCCAAAAATTCTTTTTCTAACATGTTCATTTTATCATTTAGAAACTTTTTCCTTTTCTAACATGTTCATTTTATCATTTAGAAACTTTTTCCAAAGTTTTATTATTTTTGAAATTGTTTTGCTATTTTTAAAGTATTTTTAAATCTGCCCAAAAACCTGTCATATTAGCTGTATCGGTTTGCGGTCGACCGTCGCGGTCAACCACCAGCAATAAATTTTCTAAGCATGTTTTTTGTATGCCCGCGGTCGACCATGAACCATCCAGAGACTTTCGCGATCGACCGTCGCGGTCGATCGCCAGCTTCAAAACCCTGTTCTCAGATTTTTTTGTACCTCGTGGTCGACCGCGAGATTTCACGGTCGATCGCCGATTTCATCATTGGTTTTTAACGGCTATTTTCTGTAACAGTTTTCTGTGGGCTTTTTGGTCTTTTCAAGTTTATTTTTGCTGATATTTTGAGTGGGTATAAATACTCCATTGCTGCTCTCTTTCATACATCCAAGTTTTGTGTTTAACAAAATATTAAGAGTGTTTAAAATAGCTGTTTAAGCTGATTTCATCAGTCTGTTTTCAAAAGAAGTTTTCCTACTACAAGAAGAGGATTTTTAATCTCATCATCCACTGTTCTTCTTGTCTATGGAGAAGTTTGCTCTAACTCATCTTTACATATAGCTTTCTACTTAATTTTCATATCTTAGCTATATTTATTGAGTTGTATTATTTTCATTCACTGTTATCACACACACGTATTGAGCTTAATATCTTCATACTATATAGTGTGGGTTGTGGAGTGTGATTTAGTGAGTGTGAGCTTCATTTGCGTTCTCATTTGTTATTAAGAACAAATCATTGTATTTAATCTTAATTTGTGAGTATCACTTGTAATACACTTGTACACCGAGAGAAATGTGAGGCGAGAGACGGTGTCGAATCCAATAGGAGTGGCGTCGGTTGACGAACCTAGGGAGAGGTTGCATCCGAGCACTTGAGGAGGAGGACACGGGCTAGGTTCCTATACTTAGTGTGTAAAGTGTGATTGATTAGTGATTGTGTAGTGTGAGAGTTTTCGGTGATCTTGTAAACCGAGTGTGTAGAAGTTCCGGCTTCCAAACCGGATTGTGATAGTGGAGATCTCCTCGAGGTGAGGAGCGGGGACGTAGGTCATGGTGACCGAACCTAGAGCTTGGTGCTCTTTGATTTAAGGACTAATCACATTGAGTTAAAGATCCAAGTTATCGTTTTCGTGCTAATCTAGTGTTGATTGCTTTTTGCTTCTTGCATATAATCATTATGGATATGTATGATGCATCTAGTCTAGGTTATG